AGAGCCATAAAGAGTGCGTCCTTAGTGGCATTTCTGAGCGTAGATGACGTCCATATCTGTGACGCTCTCTCTCACCGGTTTGGAAACAGCCGACGATTGGGAGAGCAGGTCGCTCTGATGCAACACAGCAAGACAACAAAAACATAATGAAACCACCTCAAAAAAGATAACCAATAACCACATCGAGATGAATAACTACAGTCAAGACGGTATCCAACATCGCTTCCATAACATCGTGTATCAACACCTATGTACACTGAAGTTGAATGTCATATTCGAACAGAAGAGAAGTGATTGAGGTAGCATGCAGAAAGTAGAAGGAATCAGAAAGGAGGAGCTGTGAGAAAAGGTCTAATACTAAAAGAATTGATTGATGGGCAAAACACTTGACCGCGGGAATGGTCTTTAGATTATTTCAAAGATCCAGACCTTTTCCTTTTGTGGTTGTTAGTGCATTTTAACGAATCTCTGCAGAAATGTAGAATATTCCTGACACAATCGAATGATTACCTAACAATGTTTAGTATATTTGTTATTGCACCAAAAGCTGCAGTTTATTTGGGAAGTCTCTGTTTATTATTTAAGCGTTCCGGCGATGTATACCTAATGCAGTATACAGGGGGGCAAAAAAAGTCACTTTGCTTCATTGACTTTCGAGGCGCTATAAGTTACACTTTATTGAATTCTGATCGGACATTTCTACCACCATATTAAAGAGCATATTAAATACTATTATGACACTCCGCCACAGCCTTCTGGACGAGCGCCATCGAGAGATTCTGGCACGCGACCGCGATGTGGTGCCTGAGATCAGCGAGATAGTCGATTTCTACCGTAGACCACCCTATTGAACTCCGCCCGAACCGGGTAATTGAGGGGATTCAGGTCAGGTGACCTACTTGGATATTCCATCTTCTTTAGGTACTCAGCCCCCTTCCATTCCAAGTAGGCGAGAGTTTCTCCAATGCCCTTCGATTCCATGTGGTGGCACCCAATGCTGTAGCAGTACAAAGTTTCCAAGAAGGTACGGGCGACGACATGTGAGGAGGATATTCTTCACGAGTTGCTCGATGTAACCGCCAGCGCTCACCTTCAGTCCGGGGTCCACGAAGAAAATATTGGTCTTTCCATTCCAGGTACGTCCGGTCCATACCATCAACCCGCGCCTTGGCGACTGTGGTGAAGATGATGTCCTAGACCGTGGCGACGTTGTCGGAGCTGCTCGATGTTGGAGGTCTTCCAGATCGAGAGTACTGGTCTCCAGGTAGCTATCCATGGGTGACTCCATACTAGAAGTTTCGCAGCTGTTTGGAGGTGACATGAATTCCAAAGGTCTTCTCCAGTCAGGCTGCGACTGGAGATGACTTCATATTTTGGTGTACATGAAGGTGATGGGCGAGAGCCAGCTCCTGCTTATCGAGGAACGTCTTGTGCCAGCTCCTGCTTATCGAGGAAGATCTTGGGTATCTTCCGCCCTGGTACTCGCACACGCGTCTTCTGTCTAGGCTGCCGAATACTTTGCTGATATGTGACTAAGTCGAAGTGAGTTTTTTGCCCCCCCCCCCTGTAATGTGTACATGTGACATCGCACTGAGCGTAACCTCCAGTTGAGAATCGTAGCGGTCCTTTATAGGTACCGTAGAGAGGGGGAAGTAAGTGTCTTTCATCTATTTCTAAGGGTGAAGAGCGTAAGGGTGTACATGGAGATTCTGCTATGGTTCTTTTTTCATTTTGAACCTCTTCTGACAAGCAGGTGTGTGGTTAGGTGTGAAGAGACGACACAGGAAAATCGGAATACAAATGGAAACACTTCTGAATACGAATTTTTCACAGCATTTAGCTGGCACTTTGCTGTGGATGTTCGCGATCTCTACAGTCTTGAACCCTGCGAACGGTTGGGCATGCGAAGAGGAGCGACTTGGAACGCTGCGTTACAGCCTTTCCTCCCATTTTCCCACAGAACCCACATTTGTCATTGGAGGGGAAGGGCTACATGCAGCGTTCCAATCCATGCCCCATCACATGCCTGATCGTTTGCAGGGATCATGACCGTACGTGTCGCTCTATCGTTTCGCGCTTTGCATCCTCAGGTGACTGACATGAGTCCGCAGAAGTGCCACCCTCTCCCGCCCAAAAGTGGACGGAATTGAGGCGGGAGGATACCTACGCGCATGGAACGAATTGTCATAGAAGGTGAGTGTACAGACCGTCTTAGAGAGAACACTTACACTCACAAGTACATTCCCAAAGGCTCGTTACGGCTCCACGATAATTTCTATCATGTGGATTCCCTATCCACAAGAATTGTTGGGGCTCGAATAAAGAAAATCTATTTAGTGCCCTGGCTGCCAGCAGGATAGAGTAGCAATATTCTACTCTACTCTACTACAAATCGAAAAGCGGAATTAATAGCTGTGCTCTGTTGGAAATGATCGGAATAGCATTTCGGTAAGGAGAAGTTTTTTTTACCGTTTTAAAAATGAACGGCGCTATCTTTCGACCTGACCATAATCGCTAGCTTCCTTGGCTTGGCCTGTGGAGAACTTCAGCAGTTTGCTCCTCTCTGTGATTTCGTCCAATAATTATACTCAGTGACCCGTACCACACTGCGTCCCAAAAGTAATGAGTTTCACTCATGACATCTCACAATATCCCTCCCTACACGACGTTTTCAAAAAAGCCTCTAGGTATAAAATGTGGTAATTACCAGTACCAATTTGCATGCCAACTCCGAGAACTGACTTTCTCCCGGAATATGAAGCAACTTTCAAATTCTTATTTTTGAAAATTTCTCATCTGACAATGTCCCACAAGTAATACTTCCAACTAATATTTTCCCATTGCGTAAATCATTTTTAATCTAGGGTAAACTTCTCATCATCACTACCTTTGACCCTTTTCCAGGTTATGGCGAGAGGGCTTTCACTGTCTGACTTCGAAAAGGGGCAGATTATCGCAAAGAAGGCTCAAGGACTGTCGAACCGTCAAATCGCAAGAGAGTTGGGCCGCAGTCATTATGTTATCAATCATTTTGTCAGGGATCCCGCAGGAATATGGAATCAGGAAGAGTTCTGGGCGTCCTCCTTTGCTGTCTGAACGAGATAAACGTCGTATCCTGAAAGAAGCGTCCAACTCCACGATGTCATGCAGGGAAATAAAGTCCCCGCCCCCCCCCCACCCCTCATGCGTGCTCGAAAAGTCCGAAGTTCATGCCTGAGAGAGTATAATAAGGAGGCACCGTTCCTGACAGAACGTCATCGCGAAAACCGACTTGCTTTTGCTAGAAGATGCTGCCGAACCGACTGGAGCAAGGTTAGCTTTCGGCTGCGGTGCCCCTCTGCTTGTCTTTTCAGTTTTTTTTCTTTAGGTCGTGTTTTCCGATGAGAAGAAATTCAACTGCGATGGCCCAGATGGAAATCGATTTTACTGGCACGATCTGAGGAAAGATAAGCTCAATTTTTCGAGGCGGAACTTCAGAGGGGGTGGTGTCATGGTCTGGGCTGCGATCGCATCAACGGGACGTTTGAAGCTGTGCTTCGTATCGAAGAAAATGAACTCTTCCGACTACGTAGAGGTAATGCGACGAGGTCTGCTACCTTTCTGGCGAAGGATACGGCATGAAAGTCCTGGTGCCCATTTCGTGGCAAGACAATGCGCCATCCATTCAGCGGAGCACTCGAGCGTGGTTCAGCCGTCATCAAAAATCACTCTTTGCCCTGGCCAGCGAATAGCCCAGACCTAAACCCCATCGAGAATGTTTGGGGCTTCATGGTACGCAGGATATACGCGCACAATGCGCGATTCGAAAATGTCCGTTCGCTCAAGGAGGCTATCATTGATGCATGGCACCATGTCGACAAAACTTATAGACCACCTCTATTCGAGCATGGACAACCGCATTTTCGAACTTATTCGAAAGAATGGGGCTGCAATAGATTATTGAAATGACGATTTATTAAATTTGTTGTACACTTGTTGTTTTCTGAATCGATTCGTTTAGTGGAAGTATACTTGTGGACATTGTCAGAGTGAGAAATTTTCAAAAAATAAAGAAAGTTGAATTGCTCTGGAAAGTCAGTCTCTGGAGATTGGCGTGCAAATTGGTAGCTGTAATTACCTACATTTTTTGTTTTTACACCTAAAGGCTTTTTTTGAAAACGTCGTGTAGGGAGGGATGTTGTGAGATTTATGGGTGGAAGTATACTTTTGGGACGCAGTGTATATGTCGAACGTGCAAGGTTACATTTGGTGTGAGCGACTGGGCCAAGTAGCAGTTCCTTCTTCTTTTCTCTCAGGAAGACTTTTTTCTGGTTAGCCCCATACACTTTCTGACTCTTAGTATATCTCTGTTCTATCTCTCTGTGCTACACAGTTTTGCAGCGAGAGCAAGCGAGTTCAATCTTTCACGCTATCGCTTAGCGCGCTTCACGATGTGATGAGAGTTTTCCAAAATGAAGTCAAGGAGAGCGACAGTGCTCTGGAAGAACAGGCTATCTCTTCTCTGCACTTGAGTCGTATGTCAACTTTTCTCCAGACTATTTTGTATTTCTTAAAAATTGTGTAGGTGGGTAAACATCCCTATCTACAACCTGAGGCCATAGCTGCTGGTGACTTTTAAAGGACATGTTTGGAGCGTCTGGTGCTGACTACGTGAAACAATACATGCTGATGGCAGCATTGTGATGAGGGAGAGTACAGTCCTCATCATTGCGGACCGGGCGTGTCAGCCAGTATGAGTGTGCACACTGTTGAAGCCGTTCTCAGCCTTTTTGTTGAAACGCGTATGCGACAAAAAGTGGTAGAAAACGAGTAATACGAAGGATATAATACAGTAATGTCACTTGCCCGCTTCAACAACTGGTGCAGAACGACTTTGGCCCGCGCCAAACGCAGCCGCACTGAACCGCCCCGACAGTACGTAATGATGAGGACTGTACACTATTAGTCGGACCCAGAAAGAATTATTTATTGTGTAATACGAGTTACTTCTTCAATAGTCTTCAATATACAGTACATGTTTGGGGAACCTGGATGGTGTCGACGAATGAGACGGGATAGTGCTTAAGGTCGAGGACGTTGTTGCGGACTTTGTGAAGAAGCTGGCGTGTTTCACGAGACGAGCGAGGGAGGCAAGTGAAGCGAACCTTCTTGTCAATCACCTCATCCATTTCCTTGTTCTTACGGCACATGCGAACTGGTTCAAGTGAGAAGCAGACACGGTGAGTGAATTCGATCACGTGGGTCTTCTCCAGCATTTCTACAAGAGTGAGCGAAACTTCCTCGTTGAACAGAACCTTATTCAGCAATTCACCTTACCTTCGTCTTTGTCTTCCATTCTATCTTCGCTTTTGTATTTGTAGGTACGTTTTCTGCCGTTGCGATCGTCATCACCCTCGAGGAAGTCGAGCCAGTCCTCGTCGTTCTCCTCACTCTCCTCGCGCTTCTCCATTCTGTAGTGCTTCTTCTCACGTGGAAGATCCTTCTCAACATCGCACTGAAATTTAAAGGGGAGCCGTTTCTAATTCAAGGACAACACATTCTGTGGAGCTCAATTTGTTACTCACCTGGTCCTTTAGGATGTACGAATGGTGGAATTCCATGATGTCGTCGGTGTATTCCTTCCTTGGAGTGAGAAACTCGTTGTCTTTCTGGAAGGAAGGAAAAAATATTTCAATGAACTCAATTTTGAAAGATTTGTGTCAGTTGTACCTCCTCGTCGAAGTGCCCGCAGAGGCCGCATTGTCTCTCAGTCATGTGTTTGCCCATGTAGACCTTGACGTTGTAGCCATCGAAATGAACCATAAGGTCCTCCAGTCTTACGCGGACCATGTCGTCTTCAATCATCTCGATGCTGGAGTTCAAACATCCATAATGTGACTATACCCTCCACTACGAGTATGTGACGGTAGGATCACGCGGCGTCGCGCGCGACAGCTGCGATTGGTTGCAATCGAGACAAGCTCTTGATGGGTTTTGTTGACATTTGGCTGCTATTTTTTCAGCAGGGCCGTCCGTCGAATCGCGACAATAGAGCAGTGAATACATCCTCTAGAAAGTTCGTGGCCTCAAACACCGTGACAGTTGAATGATTAGGGATGAGCAGGTAAGCCGAAATAACTTGGGAGCAGGATCGTGTGCAGGTGTTATCTGCACCATAATTAATCACTCCAATTTGCAAATAATACAAAATCTTACGTAATGACAATCGATATCCTACCAGAGTGAGGACCCTGGCCGAAACCCGATGAGTTTAACACGAGCGCTCCATTGCGAGCACGCGGTGTTCGCGTATAGCCGCGCACGCGACGCCGCGTGGTCATAAAGACCATCTCCCCTCATCCACACATTCTTACTTATATTTCTCCAGTTCCTCCTTGTTGATCTTCTCGTCGTCAATGGAGACCTTGAGTCTGTTGTCAACTATTTCGACAATAATGACCTGCTCGCGCTCGTTGATGATCTTCAGCTTCTGTAAGACTATCACGTCAGAATGAACTAGTGAAGAATGTAACGTTAAACGAAGCTCAACATGCCTTAATGTCAGAATCCTTTTCAATCTTCTTGACCATGACGACAAAACGAGGCTCTTCTGAGCAATCCTTGGCGATGACCGAGTAGCACTTGGTAAGAGGAGCGCGGAAAATGACGTCATCGAAGGTCCTGACTTTGGTATTTTTCACCTCACACACAGGTTCGTTCACTTCATAACGAATATCGCGGAGTGTTCTTTTGGCGATATTGGGGAGGTAAAGCTGGGGAACAACGAGGTCCACCACCTCCATGCGCTCGTAGGGGGTCTCCAGCATAACATTAACGAGCTCGCGGGTGATGGGGTCGACTCGCACCTTCAGGAAGAGTCTGTCGTTGTCACGGTTGAGCTTGGTGACCTTGCTATGCCAGAAAGTATAGCCCTTCACATAGTTGTAGATACGCTCAAAGAGGTTTTTCATGTATGGAGTAAGCTCGTAATCAACAATGACCTTTGAGCTGGTTCAGGCGCGAAGCCTTAAGTAGAAGATCGTATGCGGTAAGACCCTCGTGTTTCTTGTCGACCAGCTTCAGCCATTTCTTCTGCTCCTTGTTCTGCTCCAGTTGGATCTTCATCTTGAGCTCGTTCTTCTCCTCAGCTCCCCACTTCATCTCAACAAGTCCCTGAACTTCGCGATGGATCTGGTTCTTGAGCTCCACCAGGGACTTTGGCATCTTTGGCAGAAACGCGAATTGCATGTGCATCATGAACTTCCATTCATGGCGTTCATCACCGATGGGAGAGCGCTTGCCTTCCACTGGTGTTCTTGCAGTAGCGGAGTTCTTCGTCGCAAATAGTAGTGATTTCAACATTTCCGTACTGCTCCACATTCGAGTCAACGGCTTCGATTTTCATAAGCAGACGGTGTCTGTGGCCGTCCCTCCTCTCGATGTCGCGAAGGTGTCTGTGGAAGTTCTCGCGACGATCTCTCTCTTCGTAGGACTCATACTCGTTTTTCTCAACTTCAAATTCTTTCTCGACGAGGTGAGTGAAGTCGACTTTGTCAAGGCGGACCTTCTCAATTCTTTCACTGTTCAAGAAGAGGCGGATCTTCTTCGGTGCCTCACGGGTTGGAATTACAATGAATTCCCAGTCATGCTCACCGAGAAGGAGGTTGCGCATATTCCAGTTACGGAGCCAGTTTCCACGAAGAACAGTCTTCAGTCCCCAGATGTTGTACACCATTTCCTTCTCGGTGTTGAGTTGCCTCCACTTGGGCAGGACAATGGTTCTCAATTCCGTCTCACCAAACGACTTCTGTCCGCTGAGGAATCGGAAGAAGGTCATTGGTCGCGAGGTGTAACGCACAAGAGTCTTCTCCTCAGTAGGGATGTTGAACGTCTTTGTAATTTCAAATCCATTTCTGTAATTGATTTCCATGTCAACGTCGATAGGGAGATGAGCCTCAAGAGATCGCATGATTCTCACTCCCTGTTCGAGGAGTGGATTCCACAGGCGCATCTCGCAAAGCTGGGTGGTAACAATTGACGGCACAGTGTTGAGACGGAAACGGAGCCCAGTTGGTATCATTTCCACGGTGAACTCTCCTTCAGCAGACACGACAGTCGGCAGTTTGCACTTCATGATGAGAGGCAGACCAAGGGTGGTCGGGGTCTTCCTGATGACCTCATGAAGGAATGTGAAGCCGTTAAGCTGGAACTCACGTTCGCGGTTGAAGAAGCGATCAATTTCTGTTCTCTCGAGTCTTCCATTTCTGATGAACTTTTCAACCAGCTCATCGATGATCTTCTCGTCAATCGGGAGAACAGCGTAGTCCATGTCCTTACGGCGGATGTAGAGCATGGCGTATGGAGTTCTGTCATCAACGACACGTGGTCGAATGTCAAGCTTCTTGGCGATGTCCTTCAGAAGGGTCAGTGATTCGCGAATGCGGCGTCCGCGCACCACAGTGTTCGTGGTCTTTTCCATCTTCATCAACTTCTGGGTCAACTTGTTCAAGATCTTCTCGATGTTCTGCTGACTGATTCCGAACTGGAAGAAGTACTTGCTCCACATTCCTGAGAGAACCGTGTCAAGCTTGACCATCAACTCCTTGGGCCAGACAGTATTCTTTCCGAAGATGGTGGCAAAATCAACGTTGACACCGGTCATGATCTCTTCCTTGAACAAGGGCAGATACTTGTAAGTGCTAGTAAAGCCACGTTCTCTTCGCTGGTAGCGAGTCATGGTCAGGAGTGGAAGAATTTCGGCGGCCAGCTTCTTATAACAGACGTGAGTCGACTTAACAAATGAGTGTAGCAGGTCATAGGTGAAAGCAGCAACCTGCTGGTTTGGCTCACGCTCCATGGTCGAAATGATCTGAGTGATGATAGGCTGGCGAGGCAGGGTGTGCATTATACGGACAAGAGCAGGCCATTCTGAGCTCTGGCTCCTCGGCGCGGCTCTTGTAGACCGGCATGAGAATGGATTGGATCTTGCGTGGCATCACGTCCTTCAGAAGACGCAGAGCATCAATAGCTTCCATGCGGACAGGCAACTCCTCACGCTTATTCAGAATGATCTTCTCTAACTCGTAGACTGACAGGTCGATTCCCGCGTTAGCCAGAGACTTGAGAATGAGCACCTTTTCGTAGATGGTGTCAGCCTTCTCGTACACCTTCATCATGATGTCAAGATACCTGCGCTTCAATTCACGACGATCTTCCTTAACAAAAGTTTTGTCCATGGTTCTTCCGAACAACTCCTCGCATAACAGATCCAATGGTAAGCCAAATAGTTTGGCGGACGACAGGAGAGCGCTGAACAACGTCGGTTTCGGTGAAGCGGACAAGTTCGTCGACGATATTCGGCGATGGGTATGGGCGTCTCCTGGATAATCTTGAGCAGGTGCACAATCCTGTGAATCTTGAAGTGTTTTGTCTCTATGTGACGGAAAAGATGGCTGATGGTGTTCTTGGTTCCAGCAATAGCCAGCGAATGTTCAATCATGCTCTTCAGGCGCTCATCAACGTTCATGTAGATCTCAGTGTGAAGGTTAGACAGCTCATCCAAGGAAAGCATGCGGAACAAAGAAACGAGGCGAGAAAGGAGGTGAGTGGTCTCGTGCTTGTTCTCCTTCATTTTCTTCATCTCATCGATGACAGTGCTGATGGCTTCCATCTTGTCCTTGACAGGTTCATAAGGCAGAACCTCAGCGTCATCTCCATACATGAAGAAGCGTTCAATCTGCTTCTCAACTTCGTTGTTGTAGATCAGCGTCTCCTTCTTGCCGTTAACCCATTCAAACTCTCGCCTGATTTTCTTGACGTCTTCCAGGATCAGTCTGGTGCAAATCTCGGTCTTCATGATCGCCTCGTTGTTGATAGTGATGGTATACTGAGAGCGGACTTCAACCTTCTTGAGTTCATCCTTTTCAATGAAGGTAGGTGTAGACAGTGCTTGGCTCAAGGATATCCTTCTCTTTGCATTCTGGGCACTCAGTCAGATAGCGGAAGTTATACTTAGGCCTCTGGGCGGCGAGTACACTTGTCGAAGTTCACGGACTTGGTGACCTCAGTGACGAAGTCGTTCTTCTTGAGAACGGTGTAAGCAACGTCGCAGTCTCCTTCAATAGTTCTCTCGTTGACTGTGAAATAGTCATTGTCGCGTTCAACCTCGTATATCTCCATCTTTGGCTCATCAGTGCGTCCAGTCTTGTGGAGGTTGAGCTGGAGCATGTTGATGACGGAGCGCTTCACATTAGTTGACCAGGTTTCGTCCTTGTCGGAGAAGATCAAATCCGAAACCATGCCGCTCTTGTAGACGAAACGAACGGGCATCTCAAGAAGTTCCATGTGTTCCCTCGAGATGGTGCGCATCTTCAAATCGTCAATCGGCTTGAAAAGCTCCTTGCGATCGTCTTCTCCAGTGGCGAAGCGAACATCTCTCAGCTTGAGAATAGCATGGTGATCGTCACGGATCTGGACATGGACCATAGCATGGATGCGAGAAACGGTAGTGTCAGTTGGGAGCGGGATTCCAGAGTGGACATCGCCTTCAAATCGGAAGACGTACTCATTCCGTGGCTTCAGAGGAAACAAGTCCAGTGAATGGTGGACGGCGAGGGCCACACCCAGAAGGGCTAGGAGGGCAAACCTCATGATTGAGTGCCTCCAAGTGGGCTAGCGCAGCTTTTATTTACTCGCTTATCAGATATTATCTAGTAACTGACATATGTCCTGGAGTGCTCAACAAAAACCTCTATGACATGTGGTCATGCAATGTATTGATTGTGTACTTTGGCTCCTTATTTCAAGGAAATGATTGTATGAAGGAGAAAGGGAGGAGGAAAATTTCCGAGAAGAAAAGAAGTTTTGGGCTTCATGCAACTATTACTACCCAATCTTCCAGAATCAGGCCATTTCTTACCAACATTCTTTTACGATGGCAGATTTGGCTCAAAAGTTTCTTCCAGGGGTGAATCGACCTCCTGAACACAAATATCACATCTGCTTAGCCTGCAAATGCCTGGCTCTCGCCAAAGCGCCGCGCCGAAAAGCCTTGTCAAATTTAAAAAGATGTCGTCAGAGGTAGGTTAACCTCCAACATAAAATCACATCCGCTTGGGCTGAAACCGCCTGGCCCCCGCCCCGCAACCACCGGCGCCCAGGTACCTTTTGTCGCCAACATCGATGAAAATTTCAAATGGGGATTGCTGGAAATCCTGATTACGAGTATGACATTCTTTGTTGGCGTCGACGGTAATAGAGGACCCCAGGATTTGCGCTTTGCCAAGGCTGAGCCTAACCTGAATGCAAACACTTCTTTTCCTACTACGTGGCGTTGATGTCAAAAAAGTGAATGTCATATACATGATCAGACATCAAACAGCACTATTATGCAGTTTTTTGCCTGTGAAAAGGGTATGACCCCAAATTGGCGCCTAATGACGCCAAATGGGGCTATGGCTAGAACTGCTTGTCATGCTCGTGATCAGGGCCTGAAAACCGTAAAAAGCGATTTCGGTGAGAAAAGTGGTGGCACCAATTCGGCGTCTAGTGATGCCAGTTGGTGGCAGCGTCAAAAAATGTAATATTTGCGGTCAGAATATCCAGTAAGTAAAAGTTTCAGTAGGATTTTCTTTTCTCCACTCTTGGTAGTTGTCCAGTATCACTTTCTGAAAGGTATGTTTATTAAGCCTCCCACGATAGATGAGATTCTTTCAAAACTGTTTACAAGATTACTCATCAACTTCGTGCGTCATATGTGAACATTGGGCCACATGTTTTTCATTACTACACCTTGTTCTCATATGGATTATGTGATTATGCGAGTGATGTGACCTGTGACGATAGGCTCCACCTCTTTCAACCCCTCCTCTATCGTCCACCTTTCCCCCTCGTCTCAGTCCTCATCAGCTGTCGCGGGACTCTTTGTCCTCTCTGCAAATATGCTAGTAGCCACAACATGGGTCTCCCACATCGAAAACCGCTGTGTTTGCGAATTATCCGCATTTAAGTGACGATATTCACATGTTTTTCTGAAGAATACCATTCAAAACAATTTAACTTTCTCCAGTAGAGTAGTATTGTAACAACTGAACCCTTTCATTGACAGCTCTTTAATTTCCGTCGTCTCTATGCTTACTGTGGCGCCGTTTTGAGTGACGGGTTCGCTATGTTCAACTGTTTATTACAGAGTAACGGAATGATATCGAGTGCTGTCATCTTTGCAGCAGCCGCAATCGTCGTGTGCTCATCACACGGTGGAGTTCGGAACCGTAAGTGCATCCAGTTCTTTTGTGACTCTCCGAAACGAGGGGGAAGCCCTGCGAAAGGAGAAAGAAATCCACCCAGCCTCACCAGTGGCAATGTCAACGGGCAAAAATTAACATAAATAAGGTCGCGGGATAAGGAGGAGGGTAATTCCAAATCTCATAGCTGTGCCACTACACCTGTGAAGTTAGTAAAATAATGATGTGATGCTCAATGAAATACTTGTCGGCCCTGAAACAGATACATAATGGGTATCTTGACATTTGAGTCTAGCCATGGAACTCCCAGTCTGGCCCGAAAGTATTTCTGTAAATTTTCCGGGTTTCACTGTATGTGTGTACCTCGGCTTGCTG